TTTTTAGCTGTCCAATTAATTTCTTTCTATTTTTGGTAGAGATGGGGTCTTGCTCTTGCTCAGGCTGGTCTCAAACTCCTGAGCTCAAACGATCCGCCCGCCTCAGCCTCCCAGAGTGCTAGGATTATAGGCGTGAGCCACTGCGCTTGGCCCATTTCCCATTTTTTAAAAGTATAGAATCCCTCCACTCCTCCTATCCATTCAAAAATTACATTCTAATAGCATATAACTTACTGCCCAAGTTAAATATTGGACATACTTAAATTAACATGGTAACCAAACTAATTTTCTTACACATTAGCTGGAAATTTATCACATAAGCCATCCTTCTCTCATTTTGTTATATTTTACTAATGGAAGAACTATTGCTACAGTCTGTGGAAGACAACATTATTTACAGGCTCAGGTTCTTCAAATAAAAAGAAAACCATTTTATTTTGTTATTCCTTCTGAATTTCCTTTTTCTAAGACTTGCTAGTGTTTCTCAGGACTCTGTCTCCAGCCTTCTCTTCTGACTTCCTGATTTCTTTTTAGGTCATCCCCACAAGGTCCAAAGCTGTGTTCACAATAAATATCATAATAGCAACAGCTAACATTTACGGAGCAGATACTATGTGCTAGGCATTATGCTATGTACTTTTACATGGATTATCTCACTTACTCCTCAAAATAATAGTGAGATAAGAACTATTAACACCTGTTTTTTATATGAGGAAACTGAGGTTGAAGGATAAGAAGCAGTAGAGATCTGATTTGAACCACAAGAGAGTGTAACTACAGCTCTTCCCTACCCAGTCCATCTTCCTCTGAAACGATCTAACAAAAATCTGATGTCATTTCCCTACTTAAAATCCTTCAGTAATTCCCCGAATGCAGTAAGGTTTCTCATGCTCAGTTTATGAGATGGCCCAATTTAGTGATCTAGCCTCTTCTCCAGACATTCCTCCCAAGATCCTGTTTGTGTTTTGGCCTTCCAGACTGCAGTATTTTCATTTCCTTCAACACTCCATGCTCTCTCCAGTCTCTTGTATCCATTTAAGTGTCATTTAGCCACTGTTCTAAGCACTAACAATAATAGTGTATCAAACAAGACAGCACTTATCTCTAGTGTGCCTGACAGTAAACAAACATACATCAATAAGAAAATGTTATCTCGTATTAAAAGAAAAAAGATGAGGGTAGCATGATAGTGTCCTGGGTAGCTTCTTTAATTTGGATACCGAGGAAAAGCCTCTTTGAGGAGTAACATTTAGATAGAAATTTGTATGACAAGAAGCCAGCCATGCAAAGAGTTGTTGAGAAAGTAAATTGTTCCCTTAGCTATATGCCCCCCTACGTCCTTCCATCTTTTGCGCAACCCCTCTTTTAGAATCATAGATTCTAGCTTAGCCATGTCTTCCTTCAGGAAGCATTTCTGGAGCCTTAAACACTGGGTCAGGTGCTCCTCCTTATGTGGTCCCAAAGTGTTTCTCTTTGGAAACACTTACATTGTGAGTACTTGTCAAGCTTTCCTATTTAAATTTTTAATTACACAAGTAATAATACATTACTATGTTTTTGTAAAAAAAAAAAAAATCATAACAAAAAATACTAGAATTGGCCAGGCAAGGTGGCTCACACCTGTAACACTAGCACTCTGGGAAGCGAAGGCAGGAGGATCGCTTGAGCCCAGGAGTTTGAGGATGCTGTGAGCTATGATAAGGCTACTGTACTCTAGCCAGGGTGACACTCTGTCTCAAAAAAAAAAAAAAAAAAATACAAGAATTAAATCTTTCCTGACTCCTCCCCCATCACAAAACCCGGCTCCTCTCAAAAAATAACTACACCAGTTTAGTTTACATCTGCTCAAATCTTTTCTTCTACATTTACATGTATATTATAGACAACCATTTATAGGTTTCGAGTTTAGAGTTTGTTCTTTACACAAAAAATACCACTGTAGGTGTTCTGATGCAACTTTCTTTTTTCACTCAATGGTATCTTGGAAATCTTCCAGTATCCATCTCTCTATGCATCTACATCTTCCTAATTCTTTTCAACTGCTGCACATTCCTATAATTTGATCACTATGATTTATTTCACCATTTCTCTATTGAAGGTTGCTTTGAGTTTTTTGCTACTATAGACAGTGCTACAATCCACATCCTCGGCCATGCATCTTTGTATCTCTGAGCAAATGTTTTTCTAGGCTAGATACTTAGAAGCAGAATTTCTGATCAACTTTACTTGATATGAAATTGTCCCTCATGAAGGTAGAACCAATTTATCCTCCAACCAACACTATGGAAACACCCCTTTTCCCACACTCTTTCCAGCTATAGATGTCATCAATAATTTTAGTTTCTGACAATTTGATAAGTGAACAATGTTCTGTCATTGTTATTTTAATTTGCATTTCCCTGATGCGAGTAGTAAAGTTGAACATATTTTCAAATATTATGGGGTTTTTAAAAATTTATATTGCCTTTCTATGGCTTAACTATTCCTATTAGGATTTTTCTTTTTTTTATAAACATAAAATTTTTCTGGATATTTTTTGTCTTTTTATTACTGATTTATAGTATGGAATATTTTCTTCCAGGCCTTTGCTTCCCTTTTTTACTTATCTAAATTCAATAGAAATTTTAAATATTTAAAATTTAACATAAGTTTGAAAATGTCAGGCTTGTCAAACTTTTCTTTCATGCCTTCTGATTTTCTGTATTGCACTTAAGAAGGCCTCCCCTAATGAAAGATTATAGACATCATTCTTCCATATTGTCTTCTAACAATTACAAGTTTCGTTTCTTACATTTAGCTCTTTAATTCATCTGAAATTTATTTTGGAATATGGGATTAAAGTATGGAACAAACAACTTTATCCCCAAAAGACAGTCGCTTGTTTCTAAATCTTTTCACTAAAGCAGAGAAAAGTGAATAGGTTGCAGACAAAAGTCTGAGAGTGAAGCCCAAAGCTTCACCATCATTTGCATCCACCACAAATATAAAACTTACTTGGAAACTTTGTGCTTTATCCCAAAAGCTCATGCTCTACTCCACGGTATGTTTACTTCAGTATAAAAATTATCACCCCTCCCCAATACCTTTGAGTAAAACTGAAGCTCCAGGAAGATGTACTATACTTATCTTGCAATTTTGCAAATCCCTAATATACAGCAGTGTGACTATGCATACCCGCTCTATTTGCCTGTTTACTTGTCTCATGCTCTACATATACATGTAGATATATATGCATATATATATATATATAACTGGTCACACTTTTATCTCATTTGCTTGTTTGCCTTTCTGACCACTAGACTGTGAACCCTTGAGGGCAGGAACTCTTTCATTACTCCCAGTGCTTATCAGAGTGCCTGACAAAAAGTGTTTAGTTAGTATTTATTGAATAAATTAATACTTTCCTAGAAATAGGCCCCAGTAAAAAATCTGCTCCAATATATACTAAAGTATTTATGAATGAAATGATATTTCAGATTTACTTAAAAATAAATAGGGAGTCGGGGGCAGCAGGAAGTATAGATGAACAAGCTGGGTGATGGATACATGGGGGTCCGTTATGCTTATCTCTCTCTCTACTTTTGTATAGGTTTGAAATTTTCCATAATTAAAAAAAAAAAAACCCATTTTTAACTTTTCTTCCTAGTGACTCTAATAATCTTATAACTTAAATACTCCATTTTGTAATGGAGAGAGAAAACATATTCATTCTGTTTCAATCGGCAAAGGAAAGTAGTGTGATATTATGGTGATCACTATAAAAGTGTGGATGTCAAATGTCAGACTAGGAATAAGCAAATTAAAACTCATTAACAAAATATCCATATTATTAGACTATGGTCTGATAAATATGTTTCACTGTTTTCAACGATAGACAACAGTCTTGTTCAACTTTATAGTTGTACATAAAGATTTAGAAGTTAAGAGTTGCTTAAAATCTACAAATAGGCTAGGTGTGGTGGCTCATGCCTGCCTGTAATCCCAGCACTCTGGGAGGCCAGGGCGGGTGGATCGCTTGAGGCCAGGAATTCTAAACCAGCCTGGGCAACATAGCAAGACCCTATCTCTACAAAAAATTTTTAAAAAATTAGCTGGGTGTGGTGGCACACACCTGTAGTCCCAGCTACTTGGGAGGCTGATGCAGGAGGATTGCTTGAGGCCAGGAATTCAGACTTATAGTGACCAATGATTGGGCCACTGCACTCCAGCCTAGGGGACAGAGTGAGACCCTGTCTTAAAAAAAAAATTAAAAATTAGGGCTGGGTGCGGTGGCTCACGCCTGTAATCCTGGCTCTCTGGGAGGCCGAGGTGGGCGGATTGTTTGAGCTCAGGAGTTCGAAACCAGCCTGAGCAAGAGCGAGACCCCGTCTCTACTAAAAATAGAAAGAAATTAATTGCACAACTAAAAATACATAGAAAAAAATTAGTCGGGCATGGTGGCGCATGCCTGTAGTCCCAGCTACTCGGGAGGCTGAGGCAGGAGGATCGCTTGAGCCCAGGAGTTTGAGGTTGCTGTGAGCTAGGATGACGCCCCGGCACTCTAGCCCGGGCAACACAGTGAGATTCTGCCTCAAAAAAAAAAAAAAAAAAAAAAAAAAAAAAATAAAAATTAAATAAAAAAACAAAAAAAAAAAAAAAAATTAAAAATTAAAATTTAATTAAAAAACTAAAAATATACAAACAATTACATAGTGGGGGAAAAAAGAATGTGCTTTTTACTATTCAAAGTAGTGCACTGACTCAAAGGAATGCTTATAGTTTTAGCATTTTCTACTGATAAATTCTGTGACAAGAAATTTTGCTTCTGATTTAAACACAAATTGCTTAGGCAAATGAATATAGCAGGTAAGAATATAGTTAAAATAAGGTGGTTTTGCTGTTTTTTTTAGAGACAGGGTCTTGCTCCATAACCCCGGCTAGAGTGTAATGGCCCAATCATAGCTCAACATAACCTCAAATCCATGGGTTCCAGCAATCTTCCTGCTTTAGCCTCCCAAGTAGATGGGACTACAGGCGCACGCCACCATGCCTGGCTAATTTTTAAATTTTTTTCAGAGACAGGGGTCTTTCTATGTTGCCCAGGCTGGACTCGAACTCCTGGGCACAAGTGATCCTCCCACCTCGGCTTCCCAACATGCTGGGATTACAGGCATGAGCCATCATGCCCTGCAAGGTAGTTAACAATTACTGTGCCAATGCTGGCAGTAAGATTATATTAATTCTCCAGACTGGGGAGTAGGAAACAATGTTATATAGACACCAAATTTCCTGTATATATTCGGAATTATTTAGAAAGAGCTATACACCAAAACTCTTCTTGAGTTCATTGTTGGCTTACCTCTTCTGATCTTTCTTGAATGGAGCAATATGTAAAATAGTTTCCCAAATGAGCTCCTTCTGATTTGAAAAAAGATCCATCTCCAGGATAAATCTCTATTGAATTCATATTTTGATGGGTAAGTCTAAGGAAGAGAAATAATCATTAAAATTTTTTTTCTTATTGAGATGAAAACATCCATGAAGGCAGTCATTAAAAAAAAAACCCAAGCAAAGAAATACAGTTTTTTTGGCCTATCCAGAGTAGTGGATAATTTCATATTTGGAACCCTACCAGCTAAATTAACTTTTCCACAAAGATAAACAGAGCACATAGAATTGGTTTATGTATTTACTTTAACAACTAAACTCAGAGCTTCTGGAATTCAAGCATCTTGTCTTATTATCCTTCTGATATTCCCATTGCCAATCACAGGGCTGGCACATAATAATCACCAAAGCAATATCTATCACACAGGAGTTAAATACAATACTTCCAGAACCTGAAAATAGAATATTCTTTAACACACTGACTGCCACATTAGAAAAAAAAAATTTTTCCCTGGGGCCATGGTGTTTTTATTACAAAAATAGAATAAAAACTTTGAAAACAAAACTATCCTTTCTAATTTAATGAAAAATTTGTTATTTTTTATTGTTTTCTGTGATTTATATGCAATTACATTATCAATATTAATTATAACAATAAGAACGTCAACAAGTAAGATTCTCATAAACCAACTGCAGTTACATATGCTTCATGAGGCCCTGGGCTCAAAACTACCATGAGGTGAAAAACAACTCACATGGCAGTTGATGTGTTAATAATGAAACGGGTAGAATTAATAATTTTTGGATGAGATTAGCCATTTGTGCAAGGAGCCAGCTTAAGAAAGGTGACTGACTGTACCTGCAGCAACCAAGAAATAATCAAGGTATTATTTTATAACATATAAAAACATAAGCCAAGTTAATTTTTATTAGTATCTATGTTAGAATATCTTGTGAGAAGGGATGGGTCTTCACACAGGAAAAGCGAAACCACCTCCCCTGCCAAAACAAAAAAAAAAACAAAAAAAACTTTAACAGTGCTCTTTGAGCACTATTCATACAAGTAAAACTCACAATCTGGCCAATATTTCTATTCTGGTCACTAGAGAGGTGTCCTTTGTTGTGGGGTACAGATAATTCTATGTGATAATGCTGGCACAGAGCAGCCAATCAATGAATATTTGCTTTGTGAATAAAGGCCAAAATTTCTCTTAGGCTATCTAACTTCTCTAATTCCATGCTCAATAGGCAAACTACTATTTTGACTAATTCAAACAACTAGATCCTCTGATGCTTGGAAAGGGTATCCTAAATAAGTGATATGAATATTACATTCACTAGCACAACTGATCTCTGTCATTGGAGTTGCCACAGAAGTCTTGTAAACACGGTTAATGTGATTGAGTCACAAGACCCCTGAGTGCACTAATTAGTTTTGAGGCATGTAGTACTCAGGACCAAACACAGGAGACACAGTCAGCCTAGTAGAACTGTGTCCTCTTGTGAAAATCTGTCTGCAAGGCTAGTCCCATCCTCTGTGCGACATCAATTATGACTCCAATTCCAACATAGGTGCTTTACCTATATGTAACACCCTTGTACCAAACCACTTTCACTAGCTCAGGGTAGGAATATTCTTCTTCATCAGACTGTCTCTGCAAAAGTGAATTACAAAAATCCCACCTGTGAAGGATAAAATACAAGCTATTACTGTTGGTTACTCAACATAATTACCTTTAAGAGTCATCTACTGTAATAAGATTTCTTGTGTAACTCATTAGCTCAAAGAAAAAAAATATGAAAGTATATTAATCAGATTTAAAAACAAGTCTTCTTTTCCCATACATTTTTCCATATTTTCAATAATCTCATTACTGAATCTCAGCACAATTATTAATACATAAATTAACAGTTTTACTAACAGTTAAAATTTGGCCTGGATTCAAACAACAAATATTTAGTGAGATATCTATGGTGGGTAAAGCACTATGGTATACATACTGGGCATATTACACCCACAAAAGCAGACACGGTCTCTGCCCTCAATGGAAATTCTCTACGGCAGGGACATTAAGTAGCAAACATTGAGTGTAAAGAAAGAGGAAGTACTCGATGTTGTGGGATGGTATAACAAGGACCTAACTTGTCTAGGGTCTTCAGGAAAATAACCCTAAAGAAGTGAGACTTAAGTTGAGACGTGGAAATGAGCACAAGTTAGCCAGTTGAGAGAAAGAAAGGAGGAGTGCTCCTGCAGAGCAAAGAGCAGGTGCAGTGGAGAAAGGGAGTTTGAGCGAGCATTCTTGAGATTGCTAAAAGTCCAGTTTAGCAAGAGTAGAGAAAGCAAGGGCAAGAGTGGTGAAAGAGCTGAGGATTACCGATACAGGAGAAACCCAGATCATGAAAGACCTGTTAAACCATGTTAAGGATGATGATCACCTAAAGCTGGTGGTAAGTTATCAAAAACCTGTTAATTGAGAATCATAAATCTCTTTTGATATGTACTCATAACAATGGATTTTCCAATTTTAACCAGATAATGACAAACCTGAAAGTCATTCCCATATTTTTTTTAAAATAACAATGTATATGCAGAGACTACCTGAGATCAAATCCCAGTTCTACAAGTACTAGCTGTGTGCCTTTGCTGAAGTTATTTAACATTTCCAAGTCTCAAGTTCCTCTAAAAAAGGGGAATAATGATAGTTCTTAATTTATGGTGTTTCTACGAGAGTCAAACAGGTGAAGTTCAACAGTGCCTGGCACATAAGTGTTCTGTAACTGTTAGCTATTATCATTATTACTGCCCTATTTACACAAAGTTAATGTTACAATCTACAACTATTTAATATTACATTATTCATCTCTTAGTGGAGGTAAAAGGTTTATACCGGGGCATCCAGAAGTCTCTCCATGTTTACTCCTTTTGAAAATGGACATATTTACAGTTAACCAAAGACAGGGGTAGCCCCCGAGACTAAGTATAAACAAAAGCACCAGCAAGCAAGGTCATGGGTTCCAGTGAGCAGCAGCAGGTGCTCCTCTGTGCTCGCTCCCACACAGCCCCGTGCAGACTCCTGTCCCATCACTTACCACACTTTAATAATCCTTTTAGGGACAATGACCTTCACTAGACTTCTAAGTTACCAGAAAGCAGGGACTGTGTCTTAGTCATTTCTACAGTCACTGGGCTGAACAAAGTATTTAGTATAGAGTCAGCCTTCCATGAACATGCAATGTGTGGACACAGAGTAGGAAACATAAGCAACACATTTGCCAGGGAAATTATTTACTATCAGCTAAAAACAAAGTTTTAGATCAACTAAATGAACTTTCTTTATGAACGTTATCGTGTAATTTAGAAAGAAAATTATCCTTAAAGACGAGTTTATGATAAAAGCTTTATGAACAAAAAATATTCTTCTATTACCTGTGCAGGTGTGGGACAGGACAGCTGAGTAACAAGGCCCTAGGAAGAACAGAAACCTCTTTTCCTCTTTCCTCTGAAACAGCAGAAGTTAAAATTCTACTCTGGGTGATATGTGCATCAATTTTAGACATATTGCTAACTTTAGTATGAAAACGAAGAGCTAAAGACAAAGGATATTTCCATTCCTCTGGACAGGCTGCCACAGACCAGTGTTGCTTTACCCACGTGTATACACATGTGTGTTTTGTACCAGGTGAAGGCAGCTCTTCCTTCCCTTCAGTTCCATTTACATAACTCATCTTCTTTAAAGGTTCTTTGGATTTCATGATGTTGCAATAAAGTTCATTTTCTTTATTCTTCAGTCTCTGTCTTGATAAATTTCCAAATGTACAGATTTTGCCAGTTTTTTCAACTAGTTTGTCTTTTGGGGCTGACAATACTACAGATGACGCTGGCTTCTGGCTAACTTTACACAAAAAATGTACTGTAAATTCATGCTGAGATCTGGGCAGGCAAAGGTATGCATGACCATCTAAAGATGTTATCTTCACGGTACCGCTCTCCAGACATATCAAGCTATCATCTGCATCAAGACTGGACCATCTCACTTCTGAGATGTCAATGAAAATATGCTAAATTGAAGGGGGAAAAAAGATGGTATTTTCTGTTAACAGTCCAATTTTTCCATACATTTGATACTTAAGTATTATGTAAGAAAGCTCTTAAATATTTGTATTTTCATTACCTAGAGAGAATGAAAAATGGAAAGCCAGATGTAAGCCTATATATGGTTTTCCAGATTATATTTGATATTAAGATTATCTGCCTTATAAGAGACATAAAACAGGGCCGGGCGCGGTGGCTCACGCCTGTAATCTTAGCACTCTGGGAGGCCGAGGCGGGCGGATTGTTTGAGCTCAGGAGTTCGAAACCAGCCTGAGCAAGAGCAAGACCCCGTCTCTACTAAAAATAGAAAGAAATTAATCGGACAACTAAAAATATATAGAAACAATTAGCCGGGCATGGTGGCGCATGCCTGTAGTCCCAGCTACTCGGGAGGCTGAGGCAGAAGGATCGCTTGAGCCCAGGAGTTTGAGGTTGCTGTGAGCCAGGCCGATGTCACAGCACTCACTCTAGCCCGGGCAACAAAAGTGAGACTCTGTCTCAAAAAGAAAAAAAAGAGACATAAAACACACACACACGCACATACACACACACAAAATAGAGAAAAGAAGAAAAAGAAATATCTTGATTATATTTAGCGTTAAACATATTTTGGTTTAAAACGTACTGCATCAGAGATAAATAAATTTGCGCTCCCCCACCCCAAAAACCTACTCTGAAAAAGAACAGAAATGAGGAAGAAGCAGCTCTATGTTATGCTAAAAGCAATCACAGCTAAAAAATAAAAATTAAATAAATAAATATATATATATATATTTTTTAAAAAGCAGTCATGGCTTAAATAGTATGGGACTAGCATAAAAAATCATTGACAGAACCACTCAGAAAATACAAAAACAGATTCAATGTTATCTTAAAATGTTATATGTGATAACATAAACTTTTCAAAGCAAGAGGCGCAAGAGAGAATGATCTAATAAATGGTACTAGAATTACTGAACAGCATTTGGGAAATGCTATCTCACAGGTTTATCACCTGGACTAAATAAAATAACATGTATAAAGTACCTATCTTAGATAGTCCCTGGCACTCTATACACTAAAATAAATTCCAGGTGGCTTAAAGAGCAACATTTTACAAAGCTGAATTACTCCATAGAAAATTGATCCTGACCAATAGCAAATAGACTCGTAGCAAGTAACACTGTCAGTTGTGTCTTTTCATATAAAATATAAACAGTAGGTACCGCTGTTATTAACAGTCTTTTAATCAATTAATTTCGCCAAGAGTTTAACATTTCAACTTCCATTTAGGTAAAACCTTAAATTTACAAAAACTATTGTCAAGAAAACCTCTTAAATTTACAGTACTACCTATGGGTACAGATGTCAGGATGTTAAAATTAAGCGTAGTATTAATTAATGGCAAAACTTGTTTGTAGGGATGGCCAGTTAATAAAGTTCTCTCTGCTAAAATTGGACTGTCGAATAATCCTCCTGCAGCATCAGCAGTAAGCTATGCGGTTTCAATGAACAAAGTTACTCAAAAGAAACAATGGAAAAGAGCCTTCTAGACTAACTTATAGCTTACAACTTTTTATGGCTCCTGTGCCATAATATATTAGAAAATTAGTCAGTAGGCAGGCAAGCATCACTGACAGCATAGAAAGGTATCAAAAAGAGTTAAATGACAGTCTTCAGAATCAGACAGACTGGGTTCAAATCCTGACTTTGCCTCTAAGAAAATTTTCATAGATAAATTAGCTAAACTCTCTAAGACATAGTTTTACTACCTATAAAAAGGGGTTGATATCTAGCCAATATACCTGTTCTGATTGGTTGGACATTCATTTTGATCAGTAGTTACCCATGCCATACTGGTGTTATTAAATGTTTCTAATATTATTCCTGGTTCTTGGACATAGTAAACTCTTGATAAATGAGTTATTATTCTTAAAAGTCCAAAATAAAATATAAGCAAAAGAATTTTTATATCCATATGTAATTATAAATCTCTACTACACATTAACAAATAAGTACACGTAGGTTACTAAAAATGGCCACATAACTTCTTAATTTTGAGAACTCTGAGAATGAAAAAGTAACCAATTTGAAAAATTGTGATTATAATTCTTGACTACAAGGAAAATGGCAGGGAGATGAACTATTTAACTTTTATGTTCCTCAGTCTGATAAATATACAGGCTTATGCATTCTATAGCAATGTGTCTATTCCCAAATGTCCTGGAAAAAAAAAAGACTAAGCATTAAACTACCTGTTTGTAATTACTTGTCCTCAAATATTACTTATAAAAATGAAGTTTTAAAAAAATCACCTTTTTTCTTTCAGAAGGTATGATGTTTTCAGATAAAAAAGGGCGAGTAGCAGAAGAGTTTCGAAAATCTAGGGCTCGCTGTAGTTGTTCCTATAAACAGAAATATAAAATGTAATCTTAAAAAATATAAAACAATTTGAAAAAATCAATCTAGAATGATGGTACAGTGTAATTCAGAATACTAATCACTTTTCATATTCTAGCCCACCTTGACAATATTTTGGAATTAAAAAGAGTAGTTTTTGTAACATCTTTACTTACTTGGTAAGTGCTAATAACAAAGTGTGTCCTTTGGCGAATTCTTTCTGGTTGTTCTAAAGGATGTGCTGAAACAGGAGGTGACTTTTCAAATAAAAATTCAGAGCCACAGGGAGAAAGTTGCAATTTGGAACCATCAGCATATTGTACTTGCACTGAATCATCTTCATAAAGTACCATTCGCACTTCAGCTGCCATTATTAAGACAGGATAAGATATCCTTCCAAGTCAAAGACTGAACAAACTAGGAAACACAATAGCACAAATAGTTTTCTTATGTACAAAAATTCTATCAAAATAAATGGATGCATTTTCTTAGAACATAAGCAAAACACATTACCATTGTATTTACTTTTGTCGGAGGAAAAGTAATATTTTCTT